TTTAAACCTATATGGGTACATTCTTTTTTTTTTTTTTGATTTTAAAATGTATCCATGTCAAGTTTAATCGAAGAAATTTACTAACGTTATTAAGCCTAATATCTTTTTTCTTTTTCTTTTTTTTTTTTTTTCTTTTTTTTTTTTTTTTTTTTGTGATTTTGAAGAATGTACCCATGTACACACACACACACAATAGTATATTTATATTTTAATATTTTTAATCCCAGAAATTATGGTTTTTTTTATTATTTAAAATCTCATTTATATAAACAACTAAAATTTCTAATTTTTAATTAAAAAAATATAGTAACGTACATAGAAATAAATTATCACATTAATTTCAGGGACCTTGATCAAAAATTAAAAACCAACAAGGTTTCAATCAAAGATTATATATAACTAAGGACTGCATTCAAAGTCTCCCTTCATATAATTGTAGAGATTGAGCAGTGAAGAAGAAGCAACCTCAACCTTTAACGCTGAGTTCAAGCACAGATAGATCGGTCATTTGGCTCTAACGATGACTATAATTCTTGATTGGTGGCCTTCAGCTGTGTCTTGTGGTGGCATCAGCATGTTGGATGACATGTTCCTTGGCATTTAGGGAGGCGAAATATTTCCAGGCTTGGTTGGCTGCACGCATACACACTTCGGGAAGAATCCTATCCAAGCCCTCGAATGGTTTGAGATGAAAAGAGTTGGTCGTCCGATCCCTAAGATAGGATCCTAGCTTAGGTTTCGAAATTGGTGGACCAGAGTCGCATGACTTTATGTAATAAAAATTGTTTGATCCCACAACAAGCGTTTTTTTTTTTTTTTTTTAATATTTATGGCCCAAACAACAATATAATTAAAAGAAATAGTAACAACTAGATGAGCCAACTTCTAGTCGAGACTAACAATAATATGAAGAGGTTGGAAGAATTGTGAACTATCAGAAACTGGAATGAGCATACAAATCAATGTAGAAGTCAAGGATTGAAATACGATTGATAATATAATCAATGTAGGAGTCTAAAGTGCGCGTTACTTGTACACTATAACCATTGGTAGCCTGCATGAAACCTCTCTTCGCTGAGCGTGGTGGCTGCATTTTTTTTGTTTTTTTTGAAATAAAACTTGGACTCATTTATTGAGTCTTGTGTGTGTTATATTCGCCACACTACTAATTCAACGCTCATAAATTAGTTAAGTTGGCTTTATTTTTTTTAGCATGAGTCCTTTTGATTTGAAATTCTTTTTTTTTTTTTTTGGTCAAACGATATGTTTTGTTAGATTAGTCACCAACGGAGTTTGAACCTATATCGTCATACATGCACTCAACACCTTTCCTTTAATTTGATATTATTCCCGATATGCTTCTTGAAAAATATAACTTCTCTTGATTATCAATTATACAACTACCGTTTCATAAAAAGAGGACAGATGTCTCATGATCATTGGTTGTCATAATCACTGCCACGTCAGCCAAAGTTGTTAAAATATTTATTAGATGTTAAGTGTTCGTTGGTTAATTCATTACAAGTAAGCTTCTATTGTGCTTAGTATATCAGGAATTGCAACTCACAAATGTAATCAGTCAGTCACCTTTTTCAGAAATACAGAAACCTCAGCTCTTAACTAAACTTTTCTCTAGCTATTCATCATTATCAATTCTTCATTGTTCTTTGGTTTTTCTTCAATGTAGTTAATAACTATTTTCTCAAGTGAGTCATAGATGCCGCTAAAATATTCTACCCCCTTCTACTGAAAATATGACTTTAACCCCTCAAATTCAAATTTTTTCCATATAAAACCCGACATAATTTTTTTTACCAAGAAAAAAACCCAGTGACTAGGATCCACCTAAGTGAATTCATTAATTACATATTACTTTACACATTTTACATTTTTTAGATGCCTAAAATAACCCTATTGCATATTTGATGTGCACAATTAATTCTATGCAAATTGTAAGGAGAGAGTTAATAATTTTGCAAAAAGAAAAATAAAACATTAATGTTAAAAAATTCATTGCATATTAATATCAAATATGAGAATTGTTGGCTTAATTCTATGTATCTGGCATTATGAGTTCATATATATATTTTTACAAAAAAAAAAAAAAAAAAAAAAAAAACCTGATATATGTAATAATACATTAAAAAAAAAAGTAATTTACCTACCATTTACAAAAATGTTATTTGATTCAAAATGTGTGTATATATGTGTGTGTGTGTGTGTGTGTGTGTGTGTGTGTGTGTATTTATATAATTAGACCATATTAATTTACCTACCTACTATTTGAAATGTTCATTTCCAATTATGCAAAATATTGTATATGATCAACAACAAAATATTGCATAAACTTAGGAATTGGATCATGCTTTTGATTTAATCTTTTACCTACAAACAATCATATACATATTACTTTATATATTTTTATCAAAAAACGTCCCTAATAGGTTAATATATGTAATAATACATGAAAAATAATTTACCTACCATGTATACAAAAATGTTATTTCATTCAAAATATATAATCTATGTAGTGTGTGTGTGTGTGTGTATATATATATATAATTGGAACAAATTAATTTACCTACCTACAAATTAATTTTCAATAATTTACCTACAAAAAATTATACCCCGTGTGTAATATAATATCTTTTTTTCACTAATACATAGAGATTAATTTACCCATAACAAGAAGAAATATAATTTGATGTATTATATTGAAAAATATTATGTCATACCTATATTTATACAACAATAAAACGTGCCTAATATATGTAACAATACATGAAAAATAATTTACCTACAAGTTAGAGAAGTATTAGTTGATTCAAAATATATAATACGGATTTAGTATAATTTTTTTTTAATAATTGGAACAAATTAATTTACTTCCCAATTAATGCAAAATATATATATATATATATATCACAAAAAAGGTAAATTTTTGGTATGATATGGATACAATTAATGCAATACAACAGTTTATATATTTTATTTCACTTTTTCTACAACTTTTAATTTGAAATAAATTTAGCGATTTGAGAAAGTTGCATGGGTGTAAATAATTTGTATTAGTAGGTCAATAGTATTCCGATGTGGCTATAGATTTTAAATTTGGACTTTTATTGGACGTTCAAATGTAGATGGGTTTTTATTTAAGAATCATGAATTGTAAGGGCCAAAATCTAAAGCACCTAGTATTCTATAGGCAAAAAATTGTAAAGCTAATAGCTTTCTGTCTTTTCTTGGCCCCAGTATAACATGTCAAAAGCAGAACAACTTTAATATGAATTGCAATAATTTCTTCCACGAAACTTCTTCATTCCTTTTTAATGGTAAATGAAGCTTCTTCGCTCTTGCGCTCAGAACTTATAGATGATTAACTTGTTAGAAACGATAGCTTTTTAACATTGAGAATTTCGTCGTGAGCCCTTAAACACGCCAAAGTGCTTTGTCCTAAATTCTTCATTCATGAACCTTCTTTCTTGCTCACAAGTCAACATTCTAAAGCTACCAAAGCGCAATATCAAAAGCACTCCAGTAGTAATAGTAATAAGATCAATTATAAACAAAGCAAAATAAGATAGGTCTGAGATGCAGTAAGTGCACGTAGAAGTGGTCGGGTTTCGTGTGCATGTTGTTTTTGCTAAATTTTTTGAGAAATCTCGACGATACTAGGAAAAAATTAATTCAATTTAACCAATAAAGAACACAAATAGGGGATATAAAGTGTTACGGTCTTAACCTCGTCCTAATTAAAATTTAGGGTACCTCTCATACCGATCAGGAATACTATTTTCAACAGATGAAACAGCCGTCTGATTTCTAATCCATCGTCTTCAATCCCGGTTAGCCAATTTACTTTCTTCTTCTTCTTTTTTTTCTTTTTTTTTTTTCAGAAAAAAGGTTGTTCATTACTCTCACACAAGCCTCAAAATTAAGTCAACTTCCACATTTGGGATTAATTACATTTTCATAGACACCAACCTTTTCTTTCCTCTGTAACTTGTCCCGCGACAGCAATAAAATGCTGCAAACCAAAATGCAAATCTCATTACGTTGAACTAACTTAACTGGAAAAAAAAAATTCCAACACGACTAAATTAAGAACCAATTGATTTATCATATATAATCTTCCTGTCACAACATTTTTGTTTCTCACAACATGTATACTCATGTGCATGTTGTAAAAACGAGTTTATCCATAATGCATGTGCAAGTTAATCTCAATTAATAGAAAATGAGCTAGGGTTATATCGATGGGTATATAGTTTAAGTACAAATATTCGACTGTACAATGGGGACCCTACCCTCCAATTGTAGGAATTGTCTCATTTCGATCACGAGTAATGATAGGGAGACCAACTATTTAGACCAAATTTTATAAATTATATGACGTGATTGTTGATGATTGAATTATTATTTAAGTGTTGATTAACATATTTATTTCCTATTGATGACATATCATTTGATTTATAAATTTAGGCTAAAAAATTAATCTACGTAGCATTATTCAGTCATTCCATAATTCAAAATGTTCGACTCCCAATGTTATTCCAGCAGATTTATGTCAAAGTATGTAATTTATTTGACGATGGAATTATAATTTGCATCTGGGACACTACTGTATCATAAATTAAGTAATGATAGAGAAAAATGGTACTTAATATATCTTTTCTGGATGAGGATCCTCCTTGTGAGTATTCTTAGAATCCTTTACATTCTAATCATTCATTGTATATCGTACGGTCAGTTTTTATTAGATACTATTTATATTTAATTTTAAATAAAAAAATTCAAAATGATTTCTATCCGCATAATTTACCATAAACAGCATAATTTACCATAAATAGTTAAGATATGATATCCTTAAGATCCCCGCCATTTAGATCCGGATGGGTCCAAATCCATCTTTTCTGTCTATTTTGTTGGTTTTATAGGTATTGGGAAGATGCTGTTGCAGTGATTATTTCAATCATTGTGCCTCACTGTAGACAATTAGATTAGTTTAATTTTTTCTCAATAAGCAAACATACACCATACAATATAATGCAAAAGAGACGGAAGAAAAATTAATCCACCCAAACAAAAGGATTAAACTTTCAGCTAATTAAAGTCGACTTCTTGATTAATGCTGCGCAGCATTTGATTAACAGCTGCTGCTATTTCATCCACTGTATTGAGGAGGCACCCTTCTTCAATCTGTCCCAATTCACAACAAAAATTAAATTGTTTTCTAAAATTATAAAGACATATATAGTGAATTTAGTAAAGAAACAAAATGATAATTTGTTCTTATTTGGACAATTTTTTTTTAGTGCATGAACTCGAAGGATTCACATCGGACCCACTTGATCGATGCATACACACTTACACAGTGCAAAACCAAATGACAAAAATGTAACTTGTTCTTATTAATTTGCAGACAAACATTTTAGTGCAGGGTAATTTTAAGAAGATTAAATTTGGAGATTAAATTTGCAAACTAAATGATGTGTCACCAATAGGTTTAAGCACGTTTATCAATGTTTAAGTAATAAACCAATCATCAACTTCTATGTCCTTTAGTTTTCAAAACTTTATCTTCTAAATTTAGTCTTCCTAACATTACTCTTTAGTTTATGAACTTGTAGCATTCCCATCATCACATCCCACTTGCTGCAAACGCAGTGCAAAACCAAATGACAAAAATTTGGTGTGGAAAATAATATAATAAGACGGTGTGAACTGATTAGTTGGTAAAGTAATCTTCTTTTGTCCTTTAAATAGCCTGAGATTAAAATCCAACTTTATTAAAAGCTTAGTGTTCCCGTCACTTCCTTGTTTACTGTACTCCTTTCATTGTTTTTCAATAATAAAAAATAAAAAAATAATAAATAATAAAAAAAAACTCCTGCAATTGTTGATAGGGTTAATTTTTGAAACAGTTACTAGCACTCTAAATATTTAATTATACATTCAAAACAACCTATATTAAAAAAAAAAAATTACACTTACAAGAGATGCACGATAAAATTTTTAAAGTGACAATAATTATCATTTTTTCGGCCAAATGGATATGCTTTCTTGATAGGACAATATTAATTATGAAAAGGTAATGCAATCATTTGAAAAGACTTGGCTGCAAAACTGTAAAACTAATTACCTTAACGCTAACTGAGTAGAGGACCATTTCATCAGCTGTGGTGACATTAAGGTGAAGAACACTGAGCCTAAGGCTTTGAAACCCAGCCACCATGTTCAACAGCTGTCTAGGCCTTTTCTTGGAAAGTATCTTCAGGTTGGCATGGCTGTCCACCATGGTCACTTCTATGTCTGCTGCTGCTGCTGCCCACTGGTTGTTGTTATACTGAGTCGTATTCAACTCGTTCGCTTGGAGACCAGCTGATTGGTTACACTGTGTTGCTCGAGTTGAGAATTGTGGGAAGGTGAAGAACTCAGCCAAAGGTTGTTGCTTACTCCTCTTGTTGCTGTCCATCGACTGCAAAAGCTGCTCTAGCTCCTTCACAAAGTTTATGGCACCCCCAATAATTGATGCTTGGTCACCCTGTACCAAATATTCATAACAAGATTAATTTGGTGCAATCCCAAAACATATGGCTTTATTATGAAATTTTTTCAATGATAAGGGTTAATCCCAAAAAACATTTAAATCTAAAGAAAATGTAGATGCAAAAAACTTCTAACTGAATTGGTTAAGCGCATTTACTCTCGCATTTGAGGTTCTGCGTTCATGTATCTCCCTCCCGTAATATCACATTCGTATAAGGAAATAAAAATAAAAACATCTGCAGCTATATCTGGCTAGGAACCCAATAATGAATTTTATTTTTGTGATTCAAATTTAATTAAACTAACCCTTTGAGCATAAGATTGTGGCATCAATGATCTGAGGACAGCAAGGTACTCATTCATTTGCTTGCGCCTGTTGCGCTCCACAACAATGTGCGTCATCCTCTGGTTCTCAATTTCCTCCTTGTTCTTGCTGCTCTTGGTGCGATGCCGTTTGCGGCGATTCGTTGTTGCAGGTGGTGGCGGGGGCGGTGGTGTTTCCATGGCAGAGAGGTGTCCTGGTGGGCAAGATTGATCAACTGTGCAAGCCTCAGGTGAGGAGTTAGGATCCCAATCTTTCACATTTTGCAAAAGTGAAGGAAATGATGAGCAGTAGTCCCAATTTTCAATGATGCCTTGTCGGTCTTGTAAGCTGAAGTCACTGCCCCAAGAACCACCTCCATTAAAAGAGTAGTAATCTTTGCAACCAAAGCCAAATAGGTACTCTTGTGGGTAAATCACAGCTTCTAATGCCATGATTTGATCACTCTAATAACTTTTTAACTACTGCAGAATCTGTTTATGGTAGTGAGTGAAAGTGTACGAGGGGCTTTTGTGTGGTTCAAAAGGGAAAAGGAAGTTAGAAGGGTGAGGAGGTTTTTTCTTTCCTCTAAAAGAGAACCCAAATCAAAGAAATTTTTATTAGGGTTGAAGTTAGCTATGCCAAAGCACTACACCCAAAAGACCAAACAAACACACCCTTTTATCATCTCTAAATAAGAAACTCGATCTGGTTTCTTTTTAAATGAGCTTTAGCCAAGAAAACGAAAAGCTACATTGTGTTGCACGTGAGATTTCGTGTAGACTAGTCACTCCACCAGAGGTTAAAGAGATTCTCTTTTGCTTCTCTCGCTACTTACATGAAATATGTTCACTATCACATTGATATCCTGATCTAACAATGTACTTACATGAAAAACAACTACGCACAACAATACCCTAAATCAGACCTCACATGATAGTGAACTCTTTCTATGTAAGTTCTCCACCCAGAAATAACAACTATATTGGTTAGACTAAATAAATTACAGAAACATTTTATTTGTATTCGAGCTACTGATTGCACTACTGATTACACCTTGTACGAAAATGAATTTGATTGCGTAAATAAGTACAATCAATCGTCTATACAAACATGCAATGACTGAGTGAGTTATGACTCTAACCATTTCACATTATAAACCTAGCATGCATCAATGGCTAGAAAAATCCAAAAGCTCACTTGTGTAGATAGATTACTGATGTACGTCTCATCCTTATGAGTTTTATGAGTAGTACAAGTACAAATTTGTATACCCAACCGACAAACTCTCAAACAACTATTTAGTATAGTGCTATTTTTCTACATATATAAGTAAAAGGTCTTAGTTTCAAGTTCTGTAGATACTAATTTCGATACTAATTTATTCTCTCTTCTCTCTTAATATAAATATATTGTAGTTTAAACAAAATAAAAAGTAAAATAAAAAACTCTTAAGCACCTCTAATGGATTATTTAAAGGAGAAATTAGGTTCTCATCCCTCTTTTTGCTACTCCCTTGATTAAAACTTTATTCCTTTTCAATTTTTTTTATCAAGGTCCTTGAATATTAATAACATCATTAATTATTTCAATAATAAAATATTTTTTATTTTTAAATATATTCATTTAGTGTTAAAAATGTTACAATTAGTATATTTATATTTATGGCTAAATTTTTTATCATATATTTTTATTTTTAGTTTGTACCCATTTTTAATTTGCAAACCTTCTTTAATTTGTACCAATTTTATTTTCATTTTTAATTTGTGCCCATATATTAATTTCTTTGTGCCCAGATTTTTTAAAGTTTTATTTGTATTTGTGCCCATGTGTTTACCGTCACGTGACATTGTATAATTAATCAATGATAGAAAAATTACATATGGTATATTTATGTTTTATGGCTAAACTTTGTATCATATATTTATATTTTTAGTTTGTACCCATTTTTAATTTGCAACTTTTTTTTTTAAATTTGTTGTATTTCTTTTTTGTTTTAATTTGTACCCATGTATTATTTTTTTTTTTTTTTGCGCCCATAATTTTTAAAATTTCATTTGTACTCATAATTTTTTAATCTTTTATTTGTACCCTAATTTATTTATAATGTACCCATTCTTCTTTATTAATGTACCACTTTGTTATATGTGAAATGTACCAATTTTTTTTGTAAAATGTACCAATTTTTTTAACACTATGGATACATTCTTTTGCCATTTATTATTTCTTATTGTTACATAGTTTTTATCCATTTATTCAATCAAAATGTTTGAAATTTTTTATTGTAGCCATTTCTAATAGTATTATAATGAGGGATTTTAAATTTATAGGATTATAATTCTCATAAAATATCAAACAATTAATGTCAAAACTATAAAAATATAAATATTAATAGTAATATAATGAGGTGTACAAAGTCAAGGGACTTTGATTAAACTTTGAATATCATTAAGGTTTTAGTCAAATACTGTTAGAGACTAGGAACTGCATCAAAAGTATCCCTTATTTAAATTAGTTAAAAATTGGAATAATCCAATAGTGGGACCCTTTTAATAAGACATTTTGTTTGTATGGGCCCAAAAGCATATCCCATTTCATGAATAGAACGCCATATTAAACCGTGAGGACAGTAATCTCCCTATTCAACTCACATTATACGCACTGAAGGGAGGGATAGTTTAGTCTTTTACCCACCTAGTACTGTACTTTTTCCTAATTTTCTGAACAGAATATGTAACCATAGTTTCATTTAGCAATAATATGGTCGGATACTTGGACATAGAAAATGAAGAAGATGACGAAAAGCTGGTGATGTCCTAAAGATTCTGATAAAGATCTACAAACAGAGAGAGATAGAGATAGAGAAGGAGATAAAAACAACACACAACAGCTTCGTTCAGGTGTCGAACATGCTCAGAGGAATCCATGTGACCTCACTAACAGCCACTCTGTAATCATCTCCGATGAGGACTTATAATGTGTCCATCACCCTTTCCCAAAAACCCACTGTACCATTTATTGTTCTTGTGTTTTCCTTTGTTTGGCTATCAATTTATTATTAATTCTGTTTCGTAGTCAACATTGAATTTGAGGTAGAGCGACCATATTAGAATCTCTCGAAAGTAAATATAAACTCTTTTAATCACTTGAATTATAAATCTACGTTTGTTTTAAATACAACTACACTAACAACAAGGGTAGGGATGAACGCTGTCGACAACTTGATTTACATGCCATGTAACCTCATGAACAGCCCCTTGTAATACAATGGGTTAAGGATACGTTTGTTGCACTGAACTATCTTGGACTGAACTAACTTCAGGGACTAAACTAGACTGGCTTAGACTAGACTAAATTGGACTGATTTAGTGAAGCATTTGATGCAGTGTCAGACTAAGAAGTAGGACTCTAATATTATATTATTTAATGTATATCTATAATATTTAATTATTAACTTAATATATATTTATTAATATTCTATTATTAATTTATCTTTTTCTTATTTTCTAAAATCATTTGGGAATCATCTTTCTCTCCATCTAACCTCTCATTTTTTTTCTCCGCCGTCTCTCTCCCCTCTTCATCTAACCTCTAATATTTTCCTTTCTGTGTATCCAAGTTTCTTCACTCCTTTTCTCCCTCTGTTGCACAGACGATTTGAATTAAAATCACAAAAAATGGAGACATGCCTTCCCCCAAAAAACCCCAGCCCCTCCCTCTCAAGTTTAGCATCGCCAATTCAATGCCAGCCATGGTGAGTTTTCCTGTTCAGCTCCCTCTCTCTCGTCCCTTTATTTTTCTATTCAAATCCCTCTCTCTCTTCCCTCTGCCTCTTTTCCTGTCCAACTCCCTGAGTGGTAATCAGATTATGGGTGGTCACCAGATTCTAAGATTTTAGGTCATGAGGGGTTGCGGTCACTAAAGAAGGTTGCTTAAGACGGATTTGGAGAGAAGAAGGCATTGACATCTAGTCCTAGCTAATACCATGCTTTTGGTTGGGATTAGCTAATGACAGCTAGTGAGGCCCGAAGTCGAGGCGAGTCTAAGCTAACGTCATTAAAGCTAATCCTTTGCTTTGCCAAACGCTGGACTACACTGGTTGTTAGTCCAGTCCAGTCTAGTGAGAGCTAGGGATGTCAAACAAACACACCCTAAGTGTGTTACTTCATTAATAATTAATTAACTGCTTTTTAATAAAACATTATGTAGGGGTTTCGATACCAAATTAGGTTATTTATTGTGTGACTTAGCCGAACTCCCTATTTTATTGATATAAAAATATCGATGCATTAAAAAAAATATCGTTGTTCATTGAATTATGTGTCGAATTATTCCAGTATTCAGCTCTAATAACAAGAGTATGATTCTCTTTCTCTAATCTTTCTCTTCTTCTCTCTCCTTTTATTTAAAGAATCATGATAAAGTCACGTCAACATTCTGTTTTGAATTTTTTTTTTATAGAGGAAAAGACAAACAAAAGTGTGAGAATGAGAGGAGAGAATTCTACTTCATATTAACAATCTTGCCATCCTTCCATTAATTGAATTGTCTTCTTTTGTTAAATCTTTCTTCTTCTTTTTTTTTTTTTGTAAATTTTGTAGAGAATGATTAGGCAAGATTAGCTATTCGTCAATAGTCGTGTGCGAAACACTAACCCTCTTGAAGAAGAAAGGACCATTGCATCTAGAAAAACCCCCATCCCGTCCCCCACTTACTATATTTTATCAATAATTTGAGGAAAAAAGAAAAGTAAAACAAGCGACTAACAATCAGATTTAGTCATATTATGATATTCTTTTTTGTTTTGGTTGCATATCAAACCGTTATATAGTGAATGTATCAAGTAAATATATGTACCGTAGAGAAATATTAAGAAATCTAAATTGATCAAAGGTTTTCAGAAATCTATTTGATCCTCCTAAGCAATAGGAGATGTTGATTAAAGGTTTTCAGAAATCTAAATTGAGGGCTGGTCAAGTAGCACGCCAACACCTCACCAAACAAAACACCCCTACCTTTTCATGTCTTAATATGTATTAGGCCTTCGTCAGTTGTGGAATACAGTCGAACCTACGAGGGTCCTTATTAGTACAACTCCACCTAACGAAACACCAAATTAATTCAGATTATGTTTCCTAATTATCCCCATATGTTCCCTAGTGGCATGTGCCTCAAGCGCAAAGTACGCTTACCAGAACCTTTAAATTTACGCAAGTGGCAACAATGTACAAGTTGGTTTATATATTAATCGACTCTATGTGGTGGTTTACGCAACTTATATATTTGGTCAGATATCTGGTGTTAAACCAATTAGAATATTTGTTTGTTGACTTGTTCATGAAACCACGGAATTTGGGACCTCAAATTCTGGAACCTGCTAATTCCTAATTGTTCTTTCTTTGCAATTTAATTCGTTCGGATTCCAGCAATATTGGCTGGAAGGGTATATATATGTTTATCTTACTGTAAAGAACTAGCTAGCTGCGCGTTTTATAAAATACTGGCCTTCATGCACCCACTCACGCGCGTGTAGAAGATATTTTTTGAACCACGGCTTACTATGTTTGACTTATACGTTTTAAATGTATTTATATGCGTTAATTACTTCAATATTTTTTTTTTTTGACAAAAAGAAAGTCAAATATTTGAAGTAAATGAATAATATTTGAACATGCTAGAAGAAACCCCTCATAAACCAATAAAACAGTTGAGTCCACATAATGAAATTGGTCCTTCAATTTCCATCTATATTCTATTGATTAACATTAAGAATAGAGAAAATAATATTTAATAAACAACTGATGGAATTACATTATTACTAGTTCATTGTGAGACTAAGTCCACTCACCCTCTTAGTGTAGAAAGCATTGTTTGTTCAAAGAAAATAAAAAATTGATCATTTGACAACTAATTGAATCACATTATTATGCGCGTGCAAAATGCCTTTTACATATATATATATATATATATATAATTGGTACTATGTGCCTCTTAAGTGTTTAAAATAGAGAAAATAATACAACTGATTGAATCACATTATTGTGCGT